ATGATGATGATGATGATGATGATGATGATGGTGTTGAAGCTGATGATGCTGATGCTGATGATGATGCTGCTGCTGCTGACGGCGATGATTATGATGGCGATGATGCCAATCATTATGATGATTCCGATCTTGCTGATGATGATGCTAGTCATGATGATGCTGGTGATGCTGTTGATGCTGAATATTGTGATGCTGATGCTTGTGATGGTGCTGACGGTGATTATGATATTTCATGAAGATGATGCTGATGATGATGCTGCTGCTTGTGATGATGTGGACGATGTTGATGATGACGATACTGATGATGGTGATCATTATGATATTGTTGTCGATTATGATGTGGATCATGATGTTGCTGATTGTGGTGATGCTGATGCTGAGGTTGGTGATGCCGATGATGCTGGTGCTGATCATGCTGATGGTGCTGCTGACGATGATGATGCAGCTGCTGATGGCGATGATGATGCTGATGATGGTGATGGTGGAGATGATGATGAACATGATGATGACGATGATGATTTTGATGAGGATGCTAAGGATGCTGATGCTTTTGCTGATGATGATGAGGGTGATGATGATGATTATGATGATGATGATGATGATGATGATGATGATGTTAATGCTGATGATGAGGAGGGGCATGAGGACTTTGAGGGGGGATGATGGGAGGCATGATGATGATGATGATGATGCTGGTGATGATGATGATGATGGTGGTGATGATGATGATGATGATGATGATGCTGATGATGATGATGATGATGCTGATGATGATGATGATGATGCTGATCGCGGTTATGCTGCTGACGATGTTGATGTTGATGATGCTGTTGGTGATGCTGATGCTGCTGATGATGATGATGATGCTGATGATGATGATGATGATGATGATGATGATGATGGTGGTGCTGCTGATGATGGTGATGATGCTGGCGATGATGCCTCTGACGATGATGACGATTCTGATACTGCTATTGTTGAAGGTGGTGGTGGTGCAACTTATGATGCTGATGGTATTGGTGATGATGCTGATGATGATGGCGCTGATGCTGCTGATGTCTGCTGCTGTTGGTAATGATGCTGAAGCTGATGATGATGATGCTGATGCTAGTGGTGATGTGGCTGATGTGGATGACGCTTAAACTGAGGATGATGGCGCTGATGATGCTGATGCCGATTATGGTGACGATGATGATGCTGATGGTGTTGCTGCTGATGGTGAAAATGATGCCGATGCTGATGCTGCTGATGATGATGCAGATGCTGAGGAGGCGGATGATGATGATGCTGCTGCTGCTGATGATGATGATGATGATGATGATGAGGATGATGATGATGAGGAGGATGATGATGATGATGATGATGCTGATGATGCTGATGATGATGATGATGCTGCTGATGCTGCTGATGAGGATGATGATGCTGATCTCGATGCTGATGGTGATGATGATGCTAATGCGGATGCTGATGTTGATGGCGCGGACTGTGTCGATGATGATGCTGATGCTGATGTCGTTGATGATGCTGTTGATGCCGATGGTGATTCTGCTGCTGTTGATGCGGGCGCAGAGCTAGAGCAGGAGGAGGAGGATGAGGATGATAATGATGAAGATGGGGATTGGGATGAGGATGAGGATGCTGATGATGATGCGGATGATGATGGTGACGATGGCGCTGCTGCTATTGATGATGATGATGCCGATGATGCTGCTGGTGGTGATGATGATGCTGATGCTGATGATGACGATGATGGTGATGCTGATGCCGATGATGATGCTAATGATGATGCTGATGATGATGCTGCTGACGATGCTGCTGCTGCTGTTGCTGATGATGATGATGATGATGATGATGATGATGCTGATGATGATGATGATGATGATGATGATGATGATGATGGTGGTGGTGGTGATGGGGATGATGATGGTGATGATTAGAAGGAGTTGTAGGAGGAGGAGGAGGATGCGGAGGAGGCGGTGGAAGTGGCGGAGGAGGACGAGGACCAGGAGGAGGAGGAGGAGGAGGAGGAGGAGGAGGAGGAGGAGGAAGAGGGAGGAGGGAGGAGGAGGGAGGAGAAGGAAGGAGAAGGGAGGAGGGAAGAGGGAGGAAGGAAGAAGGAGTAGAGGATGGGAGGAGGGAGGAGGTAGGAGGGAGGAGGGAGGAGGGGGGGGAGGAGGGAGGGAGGAGGAGGAGGGAAGGGAGAAAGGAGGAGGGAGGATGGAGGAGGAGAAATGAGGAGGGAGGACGGCGGAGGGAGGAAGGAGGAGGAGGGAGGAGCAGGGAGGAGGATGAGGGAGGAGGAGGGAGGTAGGAGGGAGGAGGGATGAGGTAGGAGGGAGGATGGAGGAGGGAGGAGGGAGGGAGGGAGGTAGGAAGGGCGGGAGGGAGGAACAGGATGAGGATGAGGAGGAGGAGAGGAGGAGGAGGAGGAGGAGGAGGAGACAGAGGAGGAGGAGGAGGAGGAGGAGGAGGAGGAGGAGGAGGAGGAGGAGGAGGAGGA